GCTACCATTGTGAGAGATTCAGACTGAGTTCTGAGCTCCTGACTTTGGCCTAGCCAAGCCCTGGATATTGAGGGTATTTGGACAATGAAGCAGCAGACAGAAGATCTCCATCTGTTGTCTGTGTGTGTATGTATCTCTGTGTGTGTGTGTGTTTTGGTGCTTTTCAAATAAAATGGAAAGCAAGAAAGCAAGTAAAGGAGGGAGGGAGGGAGGAAGAAAGGAAAGTGCTTTAAAAATATACACACAGGGCCAGTGCTGTGGTGTAGTAGGTTAAGCGTCCGCCTGCAGGGCCAGTATCCCATATGGACACTGACTGCTCCATTTCCGAGCTAGCTCCCTGCTGATGGCCTGGGAAAGCAGTGGAAGATGGCCCAAGTGCTGTGGGCCCCTGCACTTACATGGGAGATCCAGAAGAAGTTCCTGGCTCCTAGCTTCAGATCAGCTCAGCTTCAGCCATTGCGCCATTTGGGGAGTGAACCAGCGGATGGACGACCTCTCTCTCTGGCACTCCCTAACTATGCCTCTCAAGTAAATAAATAAATCTTTTAAAAAATACACGTACATAGGGTTGATGCAGCATGGCAGGTAAAGCCACTGTCTGCAATGCCAGCATCCCATATGGGTACATATGGGTGCTGGTTCCTGTACCAGCTGCTCCACTTCAGATCTCGCTCCCTGCCAATGGCCTAGGGAAAGCAGCAGAAGACAGCCCAAATACTTGGGCCCCTGTCACCCATGTGGCAGCTCCTAGCTTCAGACTGGTCCAGCCGTGGCCATTGCAGCCATCTAGGGAACGAACCAGAGAATGGACTATCTCTGTCTGTATCTCTCCCTCTATCTCTGTACTCTTTCAAATAAATAAATACATCTTTAAAATACACACACACACACAAACTGGCTTGTGGTGGGAGATGTTAAGCTTCAGTGCTACAAACTCAAGGCCACTCAGATTCCTTTCCCTGCCACTGAGGACAAAGTTCTGTTGTAGATAAGTCAGCCACAGAATGTGGAAAATGAAGATCACGCAGCCATTTGATAAAGATCGATCACCGCCAGGCATTTACGACAGAAAGTGAGATTTAATCACATCACTGTCAGGTGCCAGGGTGAACATACAAGAAAATGAGGCCACAGGCTGTCTACAACGTCTGTACTCACTGGCAAGGCTGACATAAAGACAACACTCCCAACACTCCCATAGATACACACATTGTGTGCATGTTTTCTCTCCTCACACTCTTCAGTGACAACTAACTATTGTGTAATCCATAATTTCACAAACTCAGTCAGCATAACTTAAACATTTACCCCATCAGTGCAAGAGACTGCCCAATTCTGCAATGATAACAATTAATGTGAACCCCTCTCCACCGTCAGGAAAAACAGGTTGAGCAAAACACATACAAATCTTAATATCAGGATCAGTCTCTTGACCAAATGTCCTTTGTATTTTTCTTGTTATTTTGCAAGTAATAAGTGGGTTTTCCTGCAAATCAAGCTATAATTGTTCAAAAATCCACTTGGCCAAGAAAAGATAAAATAGTTCATATGCAAACTATGTTGAAGCAGGACAGTCTAATAAACCTGAAACGCCATTTTATGTCCTTTGTAAATATAGATTTCTTATTACTCAGGTGTATCCCAAAGATATTACATAGTTATCTATGTCATTGCTCTGAAAAAGTAGGACTCTCTTGTATGACAGTTTATGGTAACAGAGTGGACTTTTGAGAAACCTATCATCTTCAAATTCCATCTCAACCACTTATCAGCTGTGCGACCTAAAGGAAATTACTTAACTTTCTAAATCTCAGTGTCCTGATAATATTTGCCTAAAAATTTTCAGCATCGCCATAAAACATAAAAGCAAGAATTTGGTATAAAGCATGTACTCAATGCAAGGGTAAGCTCTGTTATTTTTACTAGCTTTTATTTTAACATTAGTAACAAATTGGTTATCCTAGGATGAATGATTAAATAGAAGGAGGGAAATACGCTCTTCTATTAAAAAAATCAACCTTCCTCTTCTTTTTCCCATCCCAGTGTTAACACTGAGAGACACTATGGATATGGTATAGGATACCATAAAGTCTAAGCAGTTATATCATTTGCGTTAGAAATGAAAATGATCTGGTCATTTTGGTTCATAATCCATACTTAAGATTCTTACTAAACTATTATCTTTGGCAAATTAACAAGAAACAACTATTTTAATAAAAATTTAAAAGTTCTACTCTACAGTGTGTTATGAAGGGAAAAAAAGTCACTTATGCAAAGAATTACAAGCATCGAATCCACAGAGAGGCAAAAGGGAGACTATCTGGACTTTCGCACACATTCTCTCTGAATACATCACTGAAAACCACTCCTGCAATGAAAGTTCAGTTGTTCAGTGTGACAGAGATCTCAACTCTTCAGAGCTCTAATAAAATGCATTTACTGTAAGTTGACTTTAAGGAAAGAAGCAAACACGCTACCACAGGAATCAGACACTTAGTCATAAAATATCTCACCTCTGAATTTCTACAATGGATATGCAACCATTCGGACAAATTTTAACACTGTCTACGTCTCACACAGCACAGTATCACATGATGAGAATGATTCTAATGCAGTTATGGCAACCAAAAAAATTCTCTTCCCTTTCATAGAGTCCCATTACTGAGGTGAGAACTGAACTCGCAAGAAAAGAGGCCAGACAACTCCATGTTTTCTGCAGTGCAAACCCTTGGCTGGAACTAGAGACAACTCACAGATTCACAAATTAAACCAGGTATTATGGGCACACTCTTCTTAAACACATAGGTTGCCAGTCCTTTTGTCAATCAAGTAAACAAATCTAAATAATTACGAGTCTCTAATGACTACCAATGGAATCTACCAAGCATGACCCTGTCCAGCCTGGTATCTCCTCTGTCTCCAGATACCTGCTCCATCCCTTCTCTTCTATTTCTCCATAGATGGAAACTCTATGCTTTTACCATTGTATGTGCTTCACTTCTACTAAAAACAGTAATAACGGGCAGATAAAAAGTAATTGAAAGAAGAAAAAAATAAAAACAAAAGTATCTCTTGATAGAAAGGGGAAAGTAATATTAATTTTATCTGACACTTTTGAATCAATCAAAGTCCATGAAAACTGTCAAGTACTTTTAACACATGCCAACCTTTTGTAAATAGATATCATAGATATGGACACACACACTCTTATTAATTCTCCAGCTATTTCAGACAAATGCCTGGCTCTGGAGAAAATCCTGTTCAAAGCCAGCCTACTCAATCACATCCCTCCTTATTACAGATCATAATGACATCATTATGAGACTCAAACAGAATTCTGCTAAATACACACTAGGTGAAAATGTCTTTCATAAAGAACATGGATAATAGTTTGGGGATAACAAGCAGCAATATAATAAAAGAGGAATCAAAGAGATGGGAATTTTCATTTAATAACTGACGTAAAAATGGAAAATTAAACCATTAGTTTTATATTACTTGAGATTAACCAAACCCTGAAAACTGGTTCATGAAAACAAGCACATCTCTGCCGGCACCGCAGCTCACTAGGCTAATCCTCCACCTTGCAGCGCCGGCACACAGGGTTCTAGTCCCGGTCGGGGCGCCGGATTCTGTTCCGGTTGCCCCTCTTCCAGGCCAGCTCTCTGCTGTGGCCCGGGAGGGCAGTGGAGGATGGCCCAAGTGCTTGGGCCCTGCACCCCATGGGAGACCAGGAGAAGCACCTGGCTCCTGCCATCGGATCAGCGCCGGCCGCGGCGGCCATTGGAGGGTGAACCAACGGCAAAAGGAAGACCTTTCTCTCTGTCTCTCTCTCACTGTCCACTCTGCCTGTCAAAAAATAAAAAAAAAAAAAAAAAAAAAAAAACAAGCACATCTCAAGTTGGAATTTAAAAAATAAAAACACTCTAGGAAGTGACACTTCACACAGAAAATATGATAAAGGAACAAGAAAAGGCAACTTTCACATGCACCCGAAAAGTTGCCCCAGACATTTTATGAAAATGCATCACTTGTGCCTTTCTTGACCATACCTGAACATACTGTTCTGCCGTGCTGCATGTTAACAGAGAATGCAAAAAAAAAAAAAGTAGGGAAATGTTAGCAGAATAAAATGCAAAACTATTGCATGGAGAAGTATAAAATTAGTTCACAAGCTCTTATATCTAGTACTTAACATACACTAGTAATTTAACATTCTTTCCATTTCCTTACGCTTTTTGTAAAAACAACTAGTTTTAACTCCATTAACAAGCTGAGCAGTTCTTAGTTATGAGTGGGTTACTCAGAGAAGGAGTTCAGTCATTAAACTATTTTGCTCCTTTCAGACTTCAGAGTAAATTGTAAGGTCCTGTTAACAAGATCTCCTTTTCAAGTCAATCATTTAATTCCCTCATGAGAGCAACACCAAGAACGAGCAAACAGGGACATGCCTTTTAGATGACATCTATTTCATCCTGTTTCAAAAATAAAGAGCCGAGTCATTATTTAACATAAATAAATAAATATTTGGGTAAAAATAATCATTATCAAAGTGAAGTACTATCTCTAATATACAACAGGACTAAAGTTGTAACACTAAACATGAAATACACACTTTAACCAAAAACAGGACGTTGTCTAACTTGTTCATAGTACTGAGTTCTGAAAGCAAAAACATCAGTGTAGAACTTTTCACAATACCCTTCTCCGAAATGCTTGGGACCAGAAATGTTTCTAATTTCAAAGTTTTCACTTCTTGAAATATTTGCATAGATTTTTACCAGTTGAGCATCCCTACTCGGAAAATCCCATATCCAAACTATCCAAAAATTCCAAACATTTTGAGCATTATGTCATCATTCGAAAAGTTTTGCGTTCAGAAACATTTTGGATTTTTGGACCTGGGATGCTCAGTCTGTATTCAAAAACACAGTACTGCCTCAGCTTCACCAACGTTCCAGTCGTATGTGGCCCAAGGACTAATGCGCAGCCATACTTACTTCTCTTCTGCGACACGGCCTGCAAGCAAGCAGTCACAATATCACAGTTCCTCTGTACTTTGTGCAGAAGCCTGTCTCTCTGCTTCAGCTGCCGAAGTAACTTCGCTGACTGTACACCGACTCTGAGCGTGAGCTCTTGAAGGATAATCCTCAGCTCACTGGTGTCTATCAGCAAACGAAAATAAGACAGTAAGTACTTTGAAAGAATACGAGGGCATTTTAAGAAATTTATGGAACGTATTTTGAAATCCATGCAGTTTTTGCACAATACACATTTCCATTAACTTTTTGAAAATCTCTATACACATGGATTTCAAAAATTTTGTACTCAATCATCTTTTTAAAAATAATTATTTATTTTATTTGAGAAGAATAAAAAGAAAACTCCCATCTGCTGGTTTACTTCGAAAATGCCCACAACAGCTAGGGCTGTATCAGGCTAAAACCAGGAGTTGGAAACTCAGTTCAAGTCTCCCACATGGGTAGCAGGGGTTCAACTACTGGAGCCATCACTTGCTGCCTCCCAGGCTGCACATTAGCAGGAATCTGCAATCTAGAGCAGAAACAGGACTCATGCACTCTGATGAGAGACATAGCAACCTAAAGCTGAAGCTGGATTAATCCAAAGCCAGGAGCTTCTTCCCAGTCTCCCATGCAGGTAGGTGCCCAAGCCCAAGGACTGGATCAGAAGTGGAGCAGTAGGGACTCAAACCGGTGCCCTTATGGGATGCCAGCACTGCAGGCAGCAGCTTTACCCTCTATGCCACAACACCAGCCCCTTGTGTGTGGTTTAGATCAGTCATTTTTAAAGGAATCTGGAGAAACTACAGAGAATCAGAAGAAAGCAAAAGCCATGTCCAAAGAGTAATAGCCTGATGAGTGTAGCCAAGAGTTGCAGGGAATGATGTAATATTCATATGTGACCATACCGTGCAAAATGCATTTGACCTTGAGTTAAAAAGAACAGTTTTTAGATCTGCCAACTATTAAATGATCTTAGGCATGGTAGTGCTCCAAGTCTCAAGTTGTGCCCAGCACACAAGATAATGCTGAGAAACCAAAGCACACAGTCTTTACAATGATTATTATAAATACCACCTAAAGGAAGAATAAGGAATTACCCAGAAAAAAGGGCCAGTGCTTCCTCTCTAAGTTCAAACCTTGTGGGATATAAGGAGAACCAAGGGCACCCTGAGGTTAAAAGAAAACCTTTGGGTTCTAAGGATGATCAAATATAACACAAGCTGCAAGAGGAGACCTGAGGCTCCTCACTCCCAGGCTCCTTCAGATAAAGCAAATATCTTTCTTTGAATGTTCAAGTAATTTTCTTTATAGAAATAAAAGGGGTAGTTGCCGGTGCTGTGGCGCAACAGGTTAATGCCCTGGCCTGAAGCGCCAGCATGCCATATGGTCACCGGTTCAAGACCCGGCTGCTCCACTTCCTGTCCAGCTCTCTGCTGTGGCCTGGGAAATCAGTAGAAGATGGCACAAGTCCTTGGGCCCCTTACCCGTGTGGGAGACCCAGAGGAGGCTCCTGGCTCCTGGCTTCAGATCGGCACAGCTCCGGCCATTGTGGCCAATTGGGGAGTGAACCATCGGATGGAAGACACCTCCCTCCCTCCCTCCTTCCCTCCCTCTCTCTCTCTCTGACTTTCAAGTAAAATAAATTTTTTTAAAAAAAGAGAGAAATAAAAGAAGTAGGAATTGCCTGGCATTTTAATTATGCTTTTGTTCCACCAAAGAGTTTTTACATTATCTTATTTTCAGTGACTCTTAAGGTACCTGTAACTCTCGGAATCATATGCATTGCTTAATATGAGAAAATATTTTGGAGTGTGGAAATGTCTCCTACAGCAGTGTCTGTGGGTTTATAAGCATTGTGGGGACAGAAACAGGTCTCTTTCATTTCTGTATGTCCTGTGGCATTGGCCAAAGCCCCTGCCACAGTGTCTACTGATTGAGGGAAAATGAGGAGAATCAACTGATGACCTAAGACCAATGTTCATTCTAAGGAATCCCAGGATATATAATAAAAATACGTAACATTGAGCACTTTACACACATTAACATATATAATTCCCTCCACAGTTCTCTGAGGTAGGAATAATTACTACCCCTATGTATAGCCACAGAGAGGTTAAACTGCTTGTGCATGATCCCACAGCTAGTGAGGAAGAGTGGCAGTTATCAGCCCAGGAGCATGACCCCAAAGTTCCTGCCCTTAACCATGGATACACCAAAAAGACGGTCCAGATTTGATTTCTGAAGAAACCAGCCTCACCTACACAAAGGAGCTGCACACGGTAAACATCTAAATAGGGGTGCTGTTGGTGCTACAGTAAAATCCCTGACAGTGAGAGGACAGAAGTCATGTACAGGCTACCTGCAATAAAGAAGACTCTTCAGCAATGCAGACTAGCAATGTTAGAGGGGGTTGTTCTGACCCTGAAAATCAAAGAACCTAATAAACAGCGTCATGTAGGCAGACTACTGTATCCATCACCTGATTCTTTAACCAGAGCACTCTGATGATGTTTATCAACAAAGAGGTGTGTTGTGGATGTGTGAACAGGGCTATTCTAACACAGCAGCTTGTTCATCCCCGTAGGGTTTATGAACAAGGAAAGAAAGGGTTAGCAGGCAACTAGCTGTGCAACAAGACTTGGGCAAAACAGACTCTTACAGGGCTCACGAATGATTAATAGAGTGAGCGGTCACTCAGATGAAATCCATGTGCAGAGCTATAGTGCTACCTTTTTTTTTTATCCCTAACTCCATCATTAGCTACTTCTTCATCCTATCTTTTTTTTTTTAAGATTTATTTATTTATTTCAAAGGTAGAACTAGAAAGAGAGAGAGGAAGGGAGGGAGGGAGAGAAAGAATCTTCCATCCACTGGTTCACTCCCCAAATGGCCTCAATGACCAGTGCTGGGCCAATCTGAACCCAGGAGCTTCATCCAGGTCTCCCACGTAGGTACAGGGGCCCGAGCACTTGGGCCATCTTCCACTGTTTCCCCGGGTGCATTAGGAGGGAGCTGGATCAAAAGTGGAGCAGCTGGGACTCAAACTGGTGCACACATGGGATGCTGGAGACACAGGCATTGGCTTTACCCACTATACCACAGGGCTCGCCTCCGTGACCTTCTTTAAACTTTAGCTTACCAATTTTCCTCTTACAAAAGGAAAGTTCTAATCTCCCAAACCCCTTAAACAAAAGTGAATTGTGTGGTAAAAAGAGCACCAAATCACAACTCTTAAAAATTGATTGTTTATTATTAGAGTCTGACATACCTATGACCCCATGGAACTTTTGACAGAAACACTTGGAGAACAGCCAAATAACCGTATACAACGAAATGGCCAAATAGTGAGGCCAGTGTTGTGGGGTAGCAGGTTAAAGTCTCCACCTGCAGAGTCCCCATCCCATACAGGCCCAAGTCCAAGTCCCTGCTGCTCCACTTCTGATCCAGCTCCCTGTTAATGCCCCTAGGAAAGCAGAAATGGCCTCAGTCTTTGGACCCCTGCACCCAAGACGGAGACCTGGAAGAAGTTCCTGGCTCCCAGCTTCAGTCTGGCCTAGCCCTGGCCATTGCAGCCATTTGGGGAATGAACCAGCAAATGGAAGTTCACTCACTTTCTCTCTCTCTCTCCTTCTGTCTGAAACTCTGCCTTTCAAATAAACAAAATAAATCTTTAGCAAAATAAATAAATAATCAATCAGGCACAACTCCAGTCATGGTCCCACACCCTGGGAGGAAGGTGGAAGCCATTTAGAACAATCAACTGAGAAAAAAAATTCCTCTCTATGAAGTCGGAAGAGGAAGTTGAAAGCTGTTTTCATAGATCTGAGAAAGCAGACGATGTATTATTCTTCTGGTGTGTGTGTTTTCCTTTCCTGGAGCCAGCTGGACTGATGGAAGACCACGGTGCAGTACTCTCTCTCTCTTCCCTCCCCTCGTGTTGTAGCACAAGGACCTTACTTTCAAGAAACCTGCGGTGCCTGCGTGTCTGTTTTCCACAGCTGACTTCATTTTACACACGGAGCTCCTGATCCGTGCATACAAACGACAACTGAAATACCTGTTAGCGCCTGAAAAGGGTAGCTGTTACCAACGGGTGAGGAAAATCTCTCGGTGATAATGGACAGGAGCATCAGCAAACGCCAAACTAACCTCTCCCCCTCTGAAAGCCAAGGCGGTTCTCGGATCGACCTCTCCCTGCCCGCTGAAGGAACCAGCAGGAGCCAAGGCGCTCGGGCTCTCGGCTAAGCCGACACCAGGAAGAAAAGATGCGAACCGAACAGCCGGTGAGCTGCTCGGAACCCTGCGTGCTGGCAGAAACCGCGTTCACACTCTCGGCTTTGAAACCGCACGAATTATTCGGCCTCACTAGTTAAACACTATCCAGGAGGCGTGGCCAGCAAGGCGGACTTGGGAGGGAAAAAAATAAAAGCCTGCTCTCCGGGCGCCCTGTAGGTAGATCAGAAACTCCAAACCTGTCCTAACAGCTGTGCAGGTCTTGGGCCTCCGCACCACGCCAGCCCCTGGCCTCACCCACCCGAGAAGGGGTGAGCCGGGCGGGGGCATTAGGGACTGGGTGCGCTCATGAACCTGTGAGAGTGCGTGGCCTCTCAGGCCCGGCGCGCGCAAGGTGAGCGCCGGGGCGCGGGCACACGGGGCGGGGACCCCCTCCCCGGGCCTCACCTTTCTGCTGCAGGTACCGCCTCTGGTGCTGCTGGCTCGGCCGCTCCTGCAGCTCCTGCAGCACGCGGGAGTCACAGGCGGCCCCGCGGCAGCCCAAGAACACGTCGGAGCCCGAGGCCTCGGTGGAGCTGTCGAGGCTGTCGCGACGCGGCCGCCGGGCCCAGGGCCCCGGGCCCGAGCCCGCCGCCTCCTCCTCTTCCGTGCAGCTGTAGAGTTCGGTGAGCAGCCCGCTCACCAGGGACGCCGTGCGGCTCGTGCGGCCCCCGATCTCCGGCTCCTCCTCGCCCTCCCACGAGTCGCGGGAGCCCCTTAGCCGCTCGGCCGCCCCCTGTCGAGGTGGAGCTTCGGCCACTCCGGGGACAGATCCCCGCTCTGCCTCTTCCAGCCCCGCTTCGCCGCAGTCGCCGCCGTGCAACTCGAGCTCCGCGCGCGCCGTCCGGCCCCCGCCCGCGGGCAGCACCTCCATGGCCCCCGCGCGCCGCCGCCGCTCTGTCCGCCTGGCCCCGCCGGCCAGTTCCGGGAGGAGGCGCGGCCTCGGCCGGGCCGGGGGAGCCTGCGGCGGGGCGCGGCGCCAACAGGCTCCGGACTTGCCGGATCTTCACCTAAGCCACTGCGCTGGGCGCCCGGCCGGGAGAGCACGCGGATGGCCACGTCGCCGCGCTACCTGGGCACACCTGCTGCCGGCTAGGCCGGACTTGGCCCGGGAGCGCTCTCGGATGCAGGAGAAGGACGCGGCCAGAACGCGCTCGGGATGAACCCGTCAGCCCGCAGGGGGAGGGCGCTCCCGCCGCTGCCACCTTCACCTGTGAAGCACGTGATTGAACCCAAAAGGAGGGCAACCCTGGCATCCTGTTCCACCACCAGCTAGAAACAAAGCCAGTAAACTGGCCGAGACCAGGAGTCCCTTCTTTTCACACGCGGGGCACTTTGCCCGGCCCTTCTCACCTTCCCACTTGGTCTGGGCGCCCGGGCTTAGCTTCCCACAATGACCTTTCCAGTGCGCTGAGCACCTGGCACAGGTTTGGGAGCTAAATGCGCGGTGCACTTTATTCCTGCAGTAAACACAGTGCCAGATTAAGACCAGCTCGTTCCCTGACACTACACAAAACGCCGAGTGTTCTTGAGACCAACCCAAGTAATAAATTGATGGAGCTGGCTTTGATGGTAAAACCAAAGGTTCGCCAGACCCTGAGAGATACATCTTTACCCTGCACCCCAGCAGAACTTTGAGGGGCCCCCAGAAGACGGTTTTGTGGATTTAATAATAACTGTCTACACTTCTAGTGCTTTTTGCTCTCCAGACGCTGTTCTTAGTGGTTTGCATGAGGTATGCATTTAGTCCTCACTTTACAGAGCAGGTAAGCGCTGTTTTATTCTCGCTTTTTGGATGAAGGAGCTGAGGCACAGAGAGATGAAATAATGTGTTCGATTAGAGAATAAAGGGAACTTTTCTCTAAAAGGTGTCTGGTTTTCACGGTGTACGAATGCATTTCAGTGTAATGCCATAAAACCCACCACCTGTGCTTCTCCAGGAGGCAACAGTGCACCTGGGACCACAGTTGTGCTCGCTGTTTGTTCACACATTTTATGTATTTATTTTTTAGGGTGCATTTACTTGAAAGAGCAACAAAGAGGATCTTCCATCCACTGGGTCACTCCCCAAATGGCCTCAACAGCTGTGGGCCAGGCCAAACCCAGGAGCCAGGGACTCCATTCTGCTCTCCCACATAGGTGGCAAGGGCCCAGATACCTGGGCCATCATCCACTGCTTTCCCAGGTGCATTAGCAAAAAGCTGGATTGGAGGCGGAGTAGCAGGGACTCAAACTAGCACTCCAGGTGTAGCAAACAGCAGCTTAACCTGCTGGGCCACAACACTGGTCCCCACTTTTTCTTTTCTTTTTTTTTTTTTTTCAGATTTATTTTATTTATTTGCAAGTCAGAGTTACAAAGAGAGGTAGAGATAGAGAGAGGTACCCCATCTGCTGGTTCACTCCCCAGATAGCTGCAACAGCCAGAGCTGCGCCGATCCGAAGTCAGGAGCCAGGAGCCTCCTCCAGGTCTCCCACGTGGGTGCAGGGGCCCAAAGGCTCGGGCCATCCTCTACTGCTTTCCCAGGCCATGGCAGAAAGCTGGAGTGGAAGTGGAGCAGCACCGACCTCCCCACTTTTTATTTTCTAAGGCACTTTCTTAAGAGCGCCTGACCCTGAAGTGAAAACCTAGTGTCCCTTGACACCACCACAATAAAGAGGACCTTATCTGAATCTGGAGTTAATACAAACAAAAGTATTATGACTTTTCCCATAGGTATCCAGAATTTAAAACTATACTGGAAAATTCTTTCAGGTTTTAAACTGCATGAATGACTACAACTACCTTTTAGTGTTAAATGTATGAAAGAGTAGAATTATGTACTGTGTTGCTGTTGTGTGTCTTTTGACTTTTCTCCCCCTATTGTTCATGGCATTGAATGAGTACTGAGAGACTTTCTTCAAACACCAAACTTTGCAACAAGCAAGACTTTCAGAGGGCAAACTTGGAAACTGGATCTCTTTTCTTAGTTAACTTCCCAGCCTTTCCTATCTCCATCCACTAAGAAAAGATGTGGTAACTTCTAATGCTCAGCACTGTTCTCTTTTAGGGTATCTTTACCAGGAACTGTAGATAAACCCAAAGTGGGCGAAGAGGTGAAGAAAGAGGCCCAGAAGACAATAGGCCATTGACATTCAACATGCCTAAATCCATCAGAACCTCAGAAGGACTTACCATTCTCCATCACTGCCAAATCACCGTAAGAGGGAAATTTGGCAAACTAGAGACTAACAAGGAAGGCTCATAGGAATGATCTTCTCCAGGTATCCACATAACTCTTCTCTCACCAAGTCAAGTCTCTGCTTTAATGTCTGAGGAACCTCCCAATCAGCCTCTTTGAAATTGTACCTCCCCACCCGCACTGTTCCCTTATTTCCCTTCCTTGTTCTCTTTTTCCCTCAACACTCACCATCTTCTAACACACACAGTCTACTGATTTATTATCTGTCTTCTGCCATGAAAATGTAAGCTTCTGAGGGCAGGAATGGTTGTCTATTTTGCTCATGGATATACACCTCCCACCTGGAACAGTCCTTGGCTCATTACAGGTGCTCAAAAACTGTTGAATGAAATTAATTGAATCAACACACGAAAACTAGAGAAAAGACCACCAAATGATCTGCTTCCCTAAGAAAAGTGAGTTGCAAAAAAGAAAACAGGGGTGGCGTTTAACCTAGCAGTTAAGACACCTTCATCCCCTATTTGAGTACCTGGTTTTGATTCCCAGCTCTGGCTCCTGACTCCAGCTTCCTGCTAATGTAGACCCCAGGAAGCAGCAGTGATGACTCAAGTAATTGGATTCCTGTCAACCACATGGGAAACCTGAATTAAATTTCCTGCTCCTGACTCCAGCCCCAGGCCTCTCAAATAAATAAATGATTGTTTAAAAGGAAGAGGGGCCAGCATTGTGGCTCAGCAAGTTAGGCCACAGCCTGCGATGCCAGCATCCCATATGAGCACCAATTCAAGTCCTGGTCTCTCCACTTTCCGATCCAGCTCCCTGCTAATGCTCCAGGGAAAGCATCGGACAGCCCAAGTACTTGGGCCTCTGCAGCCATGTGGGAGATCTGGATTGAGTTTCAGCCTCCTGGCTTACTGGCCCAGCCCCACCCCCTACAGCCCTTCGGGGAGTGAACCAACAGATGGAATCTTTCTCTCCTTCTCTCTCCTTCCTTCCCTCCCCCGCTGTCTCTGTAACTCTCTTTCAAATAAATATTTAAAAAAAAAAAAAAAAAGAAATTGAGTTCCATTGGCCAGGATCTTAGAAGTGTCATTGACAAAGAGCTGTGCCTTTGCCACACAACACTGCAGGTGACTGGAAGGCCTGGGCAGGTTCTCTGGAGTTCCCAATGTAAGAGAGCACACCTGGTCTAACAAAACATGACTATCAGATTGGTCATGATAAAGAAAAATGGCTAAAATAAAATTTATTAAGAGTAATTATGCTGTCCATAATAATTGTTTTAATTTGGACATTTAGTTTTAGTACCTAAATAATTATACTAATAATTTCATACCAAATACAACTCAGAGACAGGGTCCAATACTGCATAATAATTACAAGAAGCTAACAAGCATCTGTCTCTGACCACAATTTACTAGAACACAATTTGTGTAAATCTAGTGTATAGTCTACAGACATGACCATTTGAATTTTTCCCAAACCTGCAACAAAATCTTGCAAATAACCTTCTGACACCCATCATTTAAAACTACTGTAGGCCGGCGCCGCTGCTCACTAGGCTAATCCTCCGCCTCGCAGCGCCTGCACACTGAGTTCTAGTCCCGGTCGGGGCGCCGGGTTCTGTACCAGTTGCCCCTCTTCCAGGCCAGCTCTCTGCTGTGGCCCGGGAGTACAGTGGAGGATGGCCCAAGTACTTGGGCCCTGCACCCCATGGGAGACCAGGAGAAGCACCTGGCTCCTGCCTTAGGATCAGCGTGGTGTGCCGGCCGCAGCACGCCAGCCGTGGCGGCCATTGGAGGGTGAACCAAAGGCAAAGGAAGACCTTTCTCTCTCTCTCTCTCTCTCACTGTCCACTCTGCCTTTCAAAAAAAAAAAAACTACTGTAACAAGGAGGAAGGGTGGGTGGGAAGTATCGCTGTGTTCCTAAATCTGTATAGGTGAAATACATGAGATTTGTATACCTTAAATAAAAATTTTTTAAATGTACTTTAACGAGACTCTCAACATTCTAATGATTTGTAACTTTTTAAAATGAGCAGAAACCTGAAGACTGAGTTGCTTTGATGAAAGCTCTGGTTATTCTTGGCATGGAAGCTTTCTAAAACCTAGCAGCTAACCTTTAACTCTAATCTTCCAGGGATTACTCATTCCTGCAGTCACAAGAGAAATGCGAAAGGTCATTGCTGGGTCTCAGCTTGTCCTCATGGCAACTCGATTTTGCTCTTTGATTTTGCTGTTTGCAATTTACTTATATGTTTGGAATACAACACGTTCTGTGTTTTCAGTTTCATGAGTATGTATGAAGAAGATTCTTAAATCTGTCAATCAAAAATTGGGATGAGCAATACAAAGGGGATTTTAGAATGTTTTTAAAACCCATCAAACCTTGGACAGATCTTAGGAAATTCAGATCATTACATAGTAATCATCAAGAAGAGTTATCAATGTTGAGTAGTCATAAGCTTTGATGCTTGTAGGAACTTGAGGCCTCTACTTTGACTACTACTTATTTAATGCTATTACACTAAATTTCAAAGTGACATCTAACCTTTCCTTTGCAATAGTAGAAAGGCTGTGATTGCTCAATGTGTATTCACTGAAAATTAAATCTCTGATCTCTTGATAAAGTGATCATTAAAGTATAAATGATTTTGAAAGCATTAAAATGACATGTTTTAAGATGAAACGCTGTGCCTTTGATACCAGCACTTGCGTAGCCACTGACAAAGGCTGACTGACATCAATGAGTTAATCCATTTGTCTAATTGGCCATTTAGTGCCTCTTGCACAGTGGGTGCTCCCCAGTGAGCACGGGCATGTGACACAGATCTTCACACTTTGTCTATTCCTATGTGTCCAGCCATGTTTCACTCTCCCAGGCCTCCCTGCCTGCAGCCTCCCAACCTTTTTCTTTCCATGCTTGTGACCAGCCAGCTGAGGGCTGCCTATGTGTGTGTGTGTTGGGGTGGTGGTGTATTTTTTCTAACTTCAGCCCACTTCTCCTTCCATTCAAATTGACTGGTCAGGTGCACCACTCAATGTTCTAC